AAAAAAAAAAAAAAAAAACGAAATAATCGAAGTACGAATCGATCGGTCGTCAACAGAGGAAGAAATTTCGTCAAGAATATATATTTGGATTATCGTTCCACGTTTCTTCACGTGCGTCTTCTGGCGGGGATCTTATGGTTTCGTTCGTCCATTTCGACCGTCCTTCCCGAAACCTTACTCTACTATCTCCTTTCACCCCCTGGAACAGTCAGCTTCTCGAAGATTGATCTCGATCGACGCGCACGCGGTTCCCATTCTAACTTCGCTTAAAAAAAAAAAAAAAAAAAACACACACACACATATACAAAAAGAAAGAAAAGAATAAAGAAAGAGAAAAAGGAAAAGAGGAAAGAGATAATTGAACGCAACGTCGCCGGTTCTCCACGAAGATAAATTCAGTGTGTCAATCATTAACAGAGATTGGTGTATAATAATATCGAGGCAACGAATCGTCATCTCGAAGATTCTTTATACGACGGAAGAGTGAAAAAAGAGAAAAAGAAAGAAAGAAAGAAAAAAGGCAAACGTTCGGACGAGAGAAACAGAGATAGAGGGAGGAGAGAAACGGATATAATAGTGTTGGCCGGTGGGAGTGAAAGAGAGACAGTCGAGGGTGTGTTCCGCGGTTTTCTTCGCCCTCTTTTTTCCTTTCGTTTCGTCGATACATTAAGAAATTAAGTGTCATACATACGTGTATCCCAAGGGTTGATTCGTTTTTTTTTATAAAATATAGACTGTAATCCATCGTTATCGATCGGAGAAAGTGCAAAGAAAAGATATCTCTGAGGAAAACTTAAAAACTCGGTAATTCGTCTTGGTAATTCGGTAAACTCGGCTGCTTGATAAAAAATCGAATAAAATTATAAAAACACATAAAACACGGATAAAATACGCATAAATACGGTTCAGAAGGATAAATAAATAATAATAAACGAACAAAACAAAACAAAAAAATAAAAAATAAAAAAAAAATAAAAAACGGGAAAACGAAACACGCACACGTCGTTTAAAGAAATAAAAATTAAAAAACGAAATAGAACAAAGAAACGGGCATCAAAACGAGATAACAACGAAATGAAAATCTAGCGATATAGATAATATTTAAAAAAAAAAAAAAAAAAAAAAAAAAAAAAAAAAAAAAAAAAAAAAAAAAAGAAAGAAATAACTCTCCATTAAAGAAAAAAAAAAAAAAAAACATTAACCCACCGTCGTTTCGTTCTACGCCCAGATATCGGCATCCTCCAACCACTGATTTTCATCGTTAACCGGTATGTTCATTTGTTTCTTTACTTTTGTTGCTTCTGTGATTCCGACGTTCGAATTATTATTATTATTATCGTTCTATTCTTATCTTGTTATTATTGTTGTTATTATTACCGTTATAATTACAAACATTATTATCGATTTCTATATATTATCGATCTCTATGTGTTTTGGTAGCGCACTATCAGGTGCCGATTCATTATAATATATGTTTGTAACCCCTTTGCCGGAACATCCTTTATACAGGACCAATCGAAGGATCCTTCCGGCAACCACGATCATTCCTCCTTTATCGAACTTATTTTTATCGCGTTCTCTTGGCCGATCAAGGGGTTGTTTTTCTCCCCCCTGTTGTTATTGCCTCAGTAGAAAAGTATTTTACAAATTTTTTAATTCGTTTCACATTCATTTCAAATTCAAATTGATTTAAATTTATCGTTATTCTATATCAGATAAAAAGAGAAGAAAGAAAACAAAAATCTACCCGAAGTAATGTAAAAAAAAAAAAAAAAAAAAAAGTTAATCAAATATTAATTCGTTATAGCAACCGATTGATTATTGCGGCTAATTTCTCAATTATATGATAAGAACAATATAAAACGTTTATCCGTGAAAATATGGTGAAAATATCAGCGTGTAACAGCTGACGGTTCTCTACGGCGCATTATCACGGGCCAGAGAAGTTTGGGCGTGGCAGCCGAAAGCAACGTGGCCAGGAGAACGCGAACGCAGCCTCCAAACCCACAATTCTCCGGCCAACTTTCAGTTCAAATCCTTCTTTTGACTTGCGGAGTAACCGGCGAGAGAAAAAAAACGAAAAAAAAAAAAAAAAAAAAAAA